TACACACACACACACACACACACACTCACACACACACACACACCTACCACACACTACACCTACACACACTACACACACACACACACACACACACACACACACACACACACACACACACACACACACACACACACACACACACACACACACACACAACAACACTACTCCTCTCACACACACACACACACACACACACACACACACACACACACACACACACACACACACACACACACACACACACACACACACACACACACCAGGTACCTATAGATCAGAAGATGTGTCTGTCATGCAAAATGTCAACTCCTGTTGGTCATTAGATTTGAATCCGGTCTCTGGTCTCTCATCCAGATCCAATTAGCCCACTGGCTCGTCCTGGCATCTACTTCCTCCTGCTCGGCTCAGCAAACAGACACACAGATATACACAAAGTCACAAGTTAAACAGATACACCTGGGGTAGGGCTGGGCAATAAATACAAGACTGTTGCAGTACGTTAAATAAAAACTCTTCGATGCCTAATTTTGTTTGAAGTAGACAAAATGATTGTTAAAAAAAACTATTTGACATGATCTCATTGTCGTGATATGACTATACTGAAAGATGAAATGCGATATTGAATTCTTTCACGCCCCTCACCTGCACAACATAGTGAAATCCAGCTCAGCAGCACTGCAGAATGTCCTGTAGTGAAGCACATCATGTTCGGTTTTTGTTACAAAGTGCTGATCAAACTCCATTGTGAAGGTGTAATTATTGCACTGTTGGAGGAGCCTGTGACCTATGATTCTCATCGTCATAACTACACTGTAGCTATGTTCGTATGACCAATAAAAGCCTTGAACAAAGCTACTGTACAGTGTAGAAATGGCAATGAAATTCTTCTGACCTGAGCTCCTCCAACAATGCAACATATATAATAAAATATTAAAATTAAAATTTGTGCAAAAAGACTATGTCAATAGACATTAGTGAAGTGCAGTGAAATATTACATCAGCATAAACTACAGACTGAGAATGGTGTATTTAAATGGTTGACCACACTTAAGGCAACATATTTGCCAAGCGTTTTCAAATGCATGAACTTTATATTTGTAGGATATCATTTTCATACTGTAACAAGCAGTCGTTCATTTTGTCTGATGTGAAAATGTGAAGGCTCTTGAAGCTTTCTGGAATGTTGTCATCCATCAAAATTGAGTATGCATTGTTTTTTATATGTCAAACTCATAATCTCAACAGGATTAATCAGTGCAATCTATTCAAATCAATCCACACTTAAAATGCATTAGCGCACACTGATTATGTAACTTTAATTAAAAAACATGAATGTAAATAAAACACTAGTTTCAGGTTTAGCTTTGCATCACGAAATCAATGGAAGAACTGTGGCTGCTTAATTGTGCCTAAAACACCAGTAACTCTAAATTACAGAAAGCAATTGAATACCTTCTTCTCTAATATCCTGCTATGTCTTAATTAAAGCTGCAGGAGCATCCCTCCCCAGAGCCATCCGTTGATCTCTGTCCCCGCCTGTGTCACCTGGTGAAGGGGGAGAACGGCTACGGCTTCAACCTGCACAGCGACAAGAAGAAGGAGGGACAGTTTGTGCGCTCAGTGGACCCCGGATCAGCTGCTGAGAGCGCGGACATCAGACCTGGAGACAGAATAGTGGAGGTACGACCAAAGAAAGTCAAGATCAAGCGGGCCCTTTTCCCCTTAGTCAGAGTTTATATGCAGAACTATGCATCTGATGGGAAAAACATTACCGCCGCAACCCATATTAATCAGGTCTGCACACTGATTTGAGGTGTGCGTGGATTAGAGCAGATTAGTTGCGCCCAGGCTTAGTGGGCGGAAGAAAGAGGAGGAAAAGAAGAAAAGGAAACAAGGGATAATCTTGAATGGAGGTGTAGAGGAGGGCATTGTGTTTCTGTGTCTTTCCGTGTGAACATGTCTGCATGTGGATTACAGGCTTTCAGATATGCATGAGTGACATATTTATTTCCATTTCCCTCTCTACAAGTCGTAGAGTCAAAGGTGTGAAGAGGAAATGTGGATGCAGGAAGGGAATTGATGCAAATAAACTCACTTCTACTGAAATCACAGATGATGTTTTTGTCTTGTGAGGCATACTGTAACTACTGCTTGTGTTATGGCTACTTCCTAATCCCTGTCTCCTGTCTGTCTCATTAGGTCTCTCTGTGTATGCAACTCTCCCTTTATTTTCCATGTCCTTCACTGTTTCTGCCTACTTTGACGTCTTCTTTTTCTTCGTCTCAGGTGAACGGAATGAACATATCCACCCTGAGACACTCAGAGGTGGTGGCACTCATTAGAGAAGCAGGGGGGGAAGTGCGCTTCCTAGTGGTTGACCAGGAGACGTACGATTTCTTCCAAAGAATTAGAATCACACCCACTGTCAGCCATGTTAAAGGTTAATTGTATACACACACACACAAATTCACATCCTTTACTCTCATGACCAAAAGTCTTACATGTTACTGTTCTCTCTCTCTCACAGAGGTCTATCTGGAGGAATCGGTCACAGAAAGCAGCCCACCCACCTCCTCTCCGACCACTGAACTCCCCGCCACAGGACCACCAATAATAAACGTCACACTGACAGACTCCCCGATCACAAAAACGTCTCCAAATCCCAGGACCAATGGGAGTTTAGCATCCCATTCCTCCAGAAGTTCCACCACCCAATCAGAGATCAGCAGCTCGGACATGAGCATCCAGGTGAGAGAGGAAACAAAAGAGTCAGATTGTTAGAAAAGTGCTCGCAATAGAGTATCAGCCAAGTGTTTCTTCCTCTCTGATCCCAAACCGAGAAGAGGTCAATCTCACTTAATTGTCCCACCTGTCTCCTTAAGGTCAAGATTGGGATGAGGATAATAGAAACAGAGATTGATTCATCTCTGATAAGTTTAGGATTGTAACATATAGCTTATGGAATTAATGGCCAAATATTAGCTTTTACCAAATAACTGGGTAAGGCTTACATTACATTATATTACATTTGGCTGAATCAAAAGCGACTTACAGTAAGTGCAAAAACCAAGATTCACAATCCTTACAACAAAGAAAGTGCAGATATATTCATGTCAAGCAAGTCATAACATAGTAAGTGCTGGTGAACTAGTTTCAAGGCCTAAATTAACTTTTTTAGGTGCTTTTTCTTTCTTTTCGTTTTACATACTTAGTGCTTAGTACAGGCTGGTTAAAGGGAGTGAGGAGGAAGCAGTCAATGATGGTATAAAACAGTCAATAATATTTGTATTATTATTGAAAATCACTGCAACCATGAGTCCTTAAAACATTGTACTGATGGGTCCAGCAGAATGTGAGATTAGTGGCGGACATACAGACAGACACACACGCTGGTGAGTGGCTGTGTGAAACATGTACTTCGTATAATAATAATAAATTGCATTTCTATAGTGCTTTTCAGAGACTCAAAGTACTTTTGTGTGTGTTGCAGGTCCACGAAGAGGACGACAGGCGTGCTTCGGATCCTTTCATGGAGAGCGGCCTGCGTCTGAGTCCCACAGCTGCTGAGGCAAAAAAAAAGGCCCTCAACAATCGCAACAAGAAGAGAGCACCTGCTATGAACTGGAGTAAGAAACAAGAGATTTTCAGTAGCTTCTGATGCCCGAACACAAGGAGAGAAGAGAGAAGATGAACTGCATGGAGGAACAATGTTGGGGTACTTAACTGTTCAAATTGTAATGAACTCCACCTTGATCTTGAAAAGGCAGTGAAAGAAAGCGCAATATGAAAAAGAAAGAAATATTTTAGAGATATTGTGCTTAAATATTTGCTCTGTGTACAACTACATAGTAAAATAGCATATAGAAATCTCTAGATGTTTATTTTACAGTATATTTCAGGATAAAGCCATGTTCTATGATTGTGTCGGAGATCCTATGATACACTGCATTAAACATTAATGATAGGTAAACTCATCACTAATGTACCAGGTCAGAACACAGTGTTTCTCTTTATTAAATCCTATTCATATCATAGCCATAGCAACTAAAACAGCCTCTGTGCACTCGGTCTGAGATTTCTGTAGGTACGCTTTTCTGTTTAAATCCTTTTTTGAAGTAATGGTTTTGTGTCTTTTCAGTTTGGAATGTGCAAATTACATCTGTGTCCCGGTGTAGTTATTATCAAGTTTAGTTTTTTCAATTTGATGTAGGATATCAATTTCAAATGTAAATACAGAGGAAATGGAAGAGGCTATTTATGAAATGTATGATATTGGATCACCTCAGTGCTTATCTTCAATGTTCGAGTGATTTCTGTAAAGGAATATATTTAAAGACGGATGGTTGACTAGAACTGTAGACCCTCTGATCTGTCATTGTAGCTTTTTGAGGATTTTTCTCTCAAATGTGCTTGTTTGAATGTGAAATTAACATTCAGAATAAATGCATAAAAGACAAAGTAAAACGTTGGTTATCAATATGTAAAATACGCTTTTAAATTTGAGTAAAGATAGTTTTAAGTTGGACACCTGATAGACACTCCTTTCTCATTCATTTTCACAGACGGTTTGCAGTCAGAGAACGGTTAGCTCATATCCACACAGGGGTTTGGCTTAGGGACACAAAAAAGAACCAACTTCATGTTGAATGCCTCCGTGCTAACTTGCCCCTTTTAGTGAAAAGGATGCAATAAATATTAGAATAAACGTGTATTATGTGGCACATTTACATATTGATACCGGGTGTCTATAGAGACTTGATTTTATGGAAATATTTTTGATAAAATATCTCTTAAATTGTTTTAATAGTCTGTTTTTAAAGTGACCAAGTCATTCCTAAAACCTACATTGGACAATTAAGGGACACCTTCTTTGTGTCTCTCTTTTTTTTAATTAATATTGTTTTAAGATAGATAGATAGATGGATGGATGGATGGATAGATAGATAGATAGATAGATAGATAGATAGATAGATAGATAGATAGATAGATAGATAGATAGATAGATAGATAGATAGATAGATAGATGGGTGGGTGGATGGATAGATAGATAGATAGATAGATAGATAGATAGATAGATAGATAGATAGATAGATAGATAGATAGATAGATGGATAGGATATACATGTGGAAACACACATTTCCAGTAGCAAATATAATGCAGGAAATTATTGTCCAAGAAAAGGATTATTCAATATTAAATAACAATTCTGCAGTATCTTTGTCGGAAAGTCTAATAATTAAATAGCTTGTAATGTTACTGAATGACTATGGACAAGAAGAACACACATCTTTTTCATTAAAATGTGCTTGCCATTTCATGATAAATTTTTTATTTATTTTTTAGACAGAGAAAATCTGCAAAAACATCTCCAAACTATTAAATAATCAGAACATTACAGTGAGTTGTCATTCACATAGTCAGCCCATCTGTTTGAAAAGGAGAGGGACAGGTTGGTGACTAACCTGATTATTATGTTTCCAAGGAATGGTGGTCTTTAATTCTGCTCAACATGATGTGTGCTTCTGTTTGCAAGCTACCTGCACATATACAAATGATGAACTTCAAATCAGATCTAGCAGTCTAAAGCCCTAAAGGAGCACCATCCATCCATCCATCCATCTTCTCCCGCTTATCCGTGGTCGGGTCGCGGAGGTAGCAGTTCCAGCAGAGAGCCCCAAACTTTCTTTTCCCTGGCCACATCAACCAGCTCTGACTGGGGGATCCCAAGGCGCTCCCAGGCCAGCGAAGAGATATAATCCCTCCATCTGGTTCTAGGTCTACCCCTTGGTCTCTTCCCAGCTGGACGTGCCTGGAACACCTCCCTAGGGAGGCGCCCAGGTGGCATCCTAACTAGGTGCCCGAACCACCTCAACTGGCTCCTTTCGACGCGAAGAAGGAGCGGTTCAACTCCGAGTCCCTCCCGGATGACCGAACTTCTCACCTTATCCCTAAGGGAGACACCAGCCACCCTGCGGAGAAAACCCATCTCGGCCGCTTGTACCCGCGATCTCGTTCTTTCGGTCATGACCCATCCTTCATGACCATAGGTGAGGGTAGGAACGAAAATGGCGCGGTAGACAGAGAGCTTTGCCTTCTGGCTCAGCTCCCTTTTCGTCACAACGGTGCGGTAAAGAGCCTGCAGTACCGCTCCCGCTGCTCCGATTCTCCGACCCATCTCACGCTCCATTGTTCCCTCACTCGAGAACAAGACCCCGAGATACTTGAACTCCTTCACTTGGGGTAAGGACTCATTCCCTACTTGGAGTGGACAGTCCATCGGTTTCCTGCTGAGAACCATGGCCTCAGATTTGGAGGTGCTGATCCTCATCCCAGCCGCTTCACACTCGGTTGCGAACCGATCCAGTGAGTGCTGAAGGTCGCAGACCGATGAAGCCATCAGAACCACATCATCTGCAAAAGCAGTGGTGCAATCCTTAGTCCACCGAACTGCAGACCCCCTCCCCTACGACTACGCCTCGAAATCCGATCCATGTATATTACAAACAGGATTGGTGACAAAGCGCAGCCCTGGCGGAGGCCAACCCTCACCTGAAATGGGTCCGACTTACTGCCGAGGACCCGGACACAGCTCTCGCTTTGGGAGTACAGAGATTGGATGGCCCTGAGTAGAGACCCCCTCACCCCATACTCCCGCAGCACCTCCCACAGTGACTCCCTGGGAACCCG